GCTGGCTTCAGTCTCTGGGCTGTCTCTCCACAGGGGAGCCCAGGACCCAATGGACTGTTAACTACAAAAGTGGGAGTTCCTAGGAGGCCCTGCAGTGAGGTCTGTTTGACAGTCGAGTGTCCTCTTTGTGATTTTGCCTGTCACTCTTTAGCAACAGCAGAGCCAATCCCTATCTCCCAAGCATGCTTAATCACCAGCAGGGTCAGGAGGCGCCATGAGTTCAAGGCCTTCCATGGTAGAGGGGGAGTGAGTGGGGTGACAGCCGAGAGAGGCACAAGACAGAGCCAAGCTGAGGGAGTCCACAGCACACAGCTCAGGAGACTGGCTCGTGAGGCCAGGTAGGCGCCTGAGGCACTCACTGCCGTGACCAGTGTGGCCAAACTAGCAGGTTCAGGCGAGGGGTAATGGGAGATTAGAAAAATAGAGACTCATGTACTCAGATTTTGAAGATAACTGCTGGGATTGGGTGGAGCGCTGCTCTGATGGAGAAGAAGGTCTAAAGAATTACACCAGCAATCTTTGTTTATAGATCTCATTAATCAGATTAAAGACTCTGCAAGCACAATCCTTTGTATTCATGAAAGTCACAGAGTTAGCAACATCATGCAGCTTATTCCTCAGTTACATTCTACAATTGCAATGTGCAATGTTAGGAGCTTCGTGTAGCTCTCAGGAAAGTCCGTTGTTTAAAGTTAGTCATGCAGGCAGGTTCAGGAGCAGCAGAGCCAGCGGGTGAAACATTGCGGTTGTCTAGCAAGGGAGCTCCTCTATGCCTGGGAGCTGAGTGCCTGAGATCAAGGTGGAGGCTGATAAGACTCTAGCTCAGAGCCTCCTCATGCAGGGCATTGCCATAGCAACTAGACATCCTGCACCTTTGCACAGAAACTTTCCCAGGCACCAAGCATCATGCCACAGCCACGAGGTCATCAAGGGCCCCAATGTCAGACACTGCTCCCCCATTCACTGTGACTGCTTTCCACAACTCACTGCCCAGCTGTGCATCAGCCTGCTTTGCATGTGTCCTGAGGGTCCTTTTGTCTTGCTCTGTCCCACCCCCATGAGGCAGGCCACGATGTTTTCTCCTTTTGATCCAGTGGGGACACACAGATAGGTGAGCCCTGCTAGAGGTCATTCAGCTGACAGTGGGAGAGGCAGGACTTCGTGGGGTCCCACCTGCCCACGCCCCAGTTCTCCATTCCTAAGCCAGAGAAAGATGGGGTCTGGATCACGTGGGGTCTGGATTCAGGAGAATCTGGCCTCTTCTTGTGAGGTGAGGATGCCTAGGCCCCTCACCATTGTGAGTGTCTCCTCGAGATGGGTGGGACTAGACCAGGACAAAGGCCTGGAGCCCTGGGCTCCCGCTGGGTGGTGGGTGATCTCCAGGTAACTCTCAGCTCTCAGTCAGTCATGAATGCGAGTTTTAACCTCTGGCCTCTGTGTTGTTACCAATGGAAGAGTAATGTGTTGGTGGGAGGGAACATGGGCTAGACATGGTGACCTCAGAGCACATTGACATCCACTCTGCCTCTGTTGCTAGCCTGCAAATCTGCCCCTGTTATCACGTAAGTAGGGTCCCCCTTGCTAGCATTTAGCAGTGGCCTTTGGAGGATTTCACACAAAGCAGACATGGATCTTGGGCTCTGCTTTGTGGCCTGTGAGCAGGGGCCCAGGGCCAGGGTGTGACAGCTTGTGGAGGTTGCTGCTGCTTCTCTCCTGCCCCTGATTTCCCATGGTGGCCACCTGATGCACCCTGTGGCCAGCCCTGAGGAGGCCAGGGAAAATGGGCAGCAGTGAGGGGTGGTGTTCCTCCCACCAAGAGGGCAGGGATTCTGAAGACACAGCTTGGGGAGGGAGGGTCCTCTGTCCAGTGTGGGGTGGGTGCTTCCTTCTCCTACCACCCATCTGCAGAGCCTGGCCCTCAGGCTCCTGAAGGGCAGGCACAGAACTCACGGTAGACCTAGGATGCTGGTGGCCACCTGCTCAGCCCATGGCAGACCAGCCCCCAGCGGCAACACATGTTGGTCTTTGGAGTCAGGACAAGGGAGGGACGGATGAGATTCTAGGATTTGGGCTCCTGGTCTAGTTTGGAAGACCGATTACCTTAGACTGAGCTTGTCTGGGCTTGGAGTAGCTTCCTTGGTAGCAAGTGTCCTAGAGGGAGGAGGGACCCTAGGATCTAGCACCCTTCCTCTGAGACCCTGCATGAGCTCCCTGGCCTCCTGACCTCTCTCTTGTCCCTTTGCAGACACTCACTCTGCCTCCCTGTGAGCAGGAGCCACTGACCTGCAGGCTCAGGCCTGCGTGGAGGGACAGACAGAGGGAAGCCAGGGCTGGGTGTGTCTCTGGCTCCATAGAGCCAGATGAGACAGGCCGACTTTCAGCAGGCCAGTGTCTGCGTCCTTGCGGGCCTGGGAGGGCTCATCCAGCTTGTGCCAGACCCTTCTATCAGGGGAACAATAAGCCCTCATGTGTGCTCAGCACACCAGCAGGTCCCTTATTCAATACATGGTGCCAGCTCTTCCTCTGACTAGGCGCTGGTCCAGGCCTTGAGGACAGACCAACCAGCAAGGCAGGCCACCGAGGTCTCCCAAGAGCTGGGCAGCAGATGGCATTCTAGTCCAGATGGTGACCCCAGCTGCTCATACAGATAAACCACAAAGCCTCACCCAATAAAAGTGTATTTCTCACCCTGCCACTGCCCTGTTTATTGGGGGGCTGCTCCATGTGGTCATCCAGGGCCCCAGGCACTGTCCATTGTGGAGGTAGTCAGTGTAACTCATCAGAGAAGGAGTGGAATGGAGTCGCGATCACTGGGGGGTTAGGGTAGAGCCTGGAAGTAGAGGCCCCCTGAGAACGGGCGGAAGAGACCACAGGGCCCACTCCATCCAGGCCTCAGGACGCAGAGAGCACAGGGATGGCCTAGAGCAGTCAGCACTGCCCTGTGACCCTCACTGGCCCATGAGAGGTGACTGACTCGTAGCTGCTCTGTGACTGCCTATTGTTGAATGGCAGGAGAGAGCAGAACACCAGGCCTTGGGTTCCTCCAGAATGTGGGTGGAGGCCTGGCAAGGTCTAGGGGCTCTCAGGACAAACAAGCCACTGCAGGGAGAGAGCAGGCAGGGCCCACGGTGACACCCCGCCAGGCAGGACAGAGCCGGGCACAGGGGGAAGGGCCAGTCTCTGTCCTGGGCGAGGCATCTTCTATTCCATCTCTGGAACGGCTCTGTACCACTGTACTTTTTTCTGTGTTTGTTTTATTATTTGAAATTTTCTTTAGAAATTTAACAGGCTTGGTATGTTTCTTTGTTTCACTGTTTTCCTCTGTGCATAGATTACATGCTTTCAGCAGCATCTGCTGTGAATTTTAATTACGATGCTCAACTCAAAGGGAGCCTCACAAAGCAGCCTGTGTCGTTAGCAGTCCAGGGCCATGTTGACGGCACAGACGGAGGTTGCAAAGTGCGTCAGGAGACTTGGAAGCCAGACAAAGGAAATACAATCCAACAGTCCTCCCCTTGTCTCACCGCCTCCTTGTTAAGAGGACTCTGTAGCAAGGGACAGCTATGCATAAAATCACATTTGGTTTATGTTTTTAGCCAACAGTCGTCTTTTGGTTCTTTAAGGCAGCATCACAGAACCTCAGCACCTTTTAAAGTAGCAATTGTGGGATTTGTAGTTGGACAGAATGAAAAGCGCCTTTCTGTGTTTGGCTTCTTCAAGCTGCAAAAAATAAGCTTATAAAATGTCACAGAACCGGGCTGCCGCTACTTCTGAAGACTTCTGGTTTGGTGCACGTGGTCCCTTGTGGTTTGCCCTGCCATTGCCAGGGGCAGATCTGTGCATAGGCTGGAGCATCCTGCTCCTCTGGCTGAGTCAGGCCAGGCTGCTGGTCCACCAGGTCTGGGTCCAGTTCTGCTGGACATTGGCGGCCTGCCATGGAGCCCATTCTCGACAGAGCAGATGTGTCTCCTATCCTTGTCGTATGAGCAGCATCATGACTACATTCTATTTCAGAAGCAAATTGTACTGATCGTAAACTGTAATTATGTGGTAATTATTTGGCTGCCACTGTAAGTATCTGGGAGCTGCAATTTCCTTACACAGTGGAAATCGTATCTCCTGGAGCCCTCTCGCCAGGCTGGCCCTGGGTACCTGGGCTTCCAGGAGGAGGTCTCAGGTCCTGCCACCTGATGCTCTGTGAATGCGTCCTGAAGGGCAGGAGCAAACCACAGCACTGTCTGAGCTTGGGCACCCCATCTGTGCAGGGATGCGGCTGATCCTGATGCTGCGGTCCGGTGTTTGCCTCTGGGGGTTGGTACTGTACTGGCACTGCTACAAGCCTGGCTAGAGCAAGTGTTAGGGAATATTTATCAAATGGCATTTGACTTTCTGCTGGGCACATCTTAGCCAGGGCACCAATGCCCAGTTCCAGCTCTGGATAAAAATATACCTGACACAGGCACTGTCTAGCCCTCGGGTCATAAAGGACAGTGCCCCCAGGCAGGGCTGGGTGGGTGCCAGTCATCTTTGCTGATCCTGCCAACCTCCTATGGGGCTGTGCCTCCTTTACCTAATGAGATTGGATACCTGCCAGGTCTTTTGCACAGGGACTTATCATGGTAAGAAGGCTCAGTGCAGGTTAGTGTCCTACATTCCTGGCCTGAGACAGGGCAGGGGTTGGCATCCATGGCCGTCTACCTCAGGGCCCAAGTGGGTGGTGACCTTGCCTCTCTGCCTTCTAGGGATCGGGACTCTGATCTTTGGGATCATCCATCTCCAGGGACAGCAAGCCCTCATTGCATTGTCCCTGGCTCTTTTCTGTGGCCCCTTTGCTCCTCTGGGCCTTAGTGTTTCTGCCTTGCTGGTGCTGGAGGGCAGCGGGAGGACCTCTGGAGTTGAGGGATGCTGTGTTATTTCCTCCCTGACTTTTGCCACTGGAATTGTTCTTGGGACTCCAGGCATGCGATCCGTTATGAAGACCTGGTCTCTGTTCTCCCTAGGTGTCCTGCCTCCCCCTTGTAAGTCCTGCTTTGTGACTGAAGACACAGCTCTCTCTTTGACCCAGAGGAAGAGCCTGGTGGAGGGAGGCCCACATGTGATGATCATCCTGCTTCGAGAAGGGCGCTTTATAGGTTTGGTGAGTAAGTTTTGACATTTATCTCTCAGGGCTGCTCCTCAAGATGGGAAGGAATGAGGCAGGGGGGATTTGGTTGGTCTATGCCTGGAAGCCAGGGAAACATTGAGCGATTGATTGGTCCCCTGACACCACAGAGAGGGGTCCGGTCCTCAGGTTTGCTGAGCTGCAGCGCACGGGAGCTTGGTCTTCCCTGTGGGAGATGGCAGCCCTGTGCCTCTTTCAGAGTGGGACACCTCCCGGGGGACCATTCAAGCACGGTGGGCAAGGACAGGCCAGCCCCCATCAGGCATGGGCTGCCATGGAGCTGGCTGAGTTGCTGGGGAGGGCACAGGTTGCACACTGACGGGGCTGCTGGCACTGACCTGTGCTGTGCTGCCAGTCCGGCTTCCTTCATGCTTAGTCTCTGGGCCTGTTTCCACCCCGGGCTGGCCTGTGGCTGCCAGACCTGGCCCAGGAGAGCCAGCACTCAGAGGAACGCAGCTGCTCCCGAGCAGGTGCCCAGATTGGAAGGCCCAGCTGGCCTCTTCCTCTCCGTGCTCGCAAGGCGGCTTCTCAGGGCTCCCTGGCCAGTGTCACGGGGGAATCTACGTAGGCAGCTGCTCCGATGTTTCAGGATGGAATAAAGGAGACCCGGTCTGGCTGTTGAGCTGAGGTGCAGTCACGGCCCCCGCTGCCTGATAGCCACCTGTGGTTGTGAGGCAGGCCCTTGGAGGACCCTTCCCCACACTGCCGTGCACAGGCCTTCGTGGCTCAGGCATCCACAGCACCACGGCAACAAAGCAGGAGTTGTGCCAGTGCTTGACCCCAGGCCCTGCGGCTGACCGTGAGCGTCCATCAAGGACAAGGGGTCATTTGGAAAAATCAGTCCATCCACTGAAGTGTAGACGGCATGCTCACGTTGTCTCGATCAATAACACTAGACCTGGTGTGGAACGTCACATCCTGAGAAATTGTCTTAGCAATTACAGTTATGGTCACTGGAAATTGAAAGTGTGTGTGTGTGTGTGTGTGTGGTATATGGTGTGTTTGTGATATGAGTGTGGTTGTATGTTGTGTGTAGTTTGTGTGTGCATGTGTGGTGTGTATGGTGTGTGCAGTGTGTGTGTATGGTGTGTGCAGTGTGGGTGTGTGTGGTGTGTGTGTGCAGTATGTGTGTATGGTGTGTGGAGTGTTGTGTGATGTGTCTAGTTGTATGTGTGGGTGGTATGCAGTGTGTGTGTGTGTGGCCTGTGTGTGTGCGTGTGTGTGGTTCATATACACAGGATCAATATCCTGTGCGGAGGAGTGTGGTGGGTGAGGAAGAGCACAATTTCCAGCATTGCTCTTACCTTGGGGTAAACCCTGGGAGAAGCGCAGGATGCAGCTCTGGGAAGAGGGCAGACACATGAGCACCTTTCCTGGTTGCTAGAGAAGAGCCAGCATCTGCAGGTGGAGCACGGCAGTGGGGGGCAGAAGGCCTGGCTGCCTGGATCCATCTACTGCATGGACGTCTGAGGCACCAGTTTCACTTTAAAAATGCTAGTGTCACTGGGCACAGTTGCACATGCCTGCAATCCCATAGCTTGGGAGGTGGAGGCAGGAGGATCAAGGGTTCAAAGCCAACCTCAGCAAGGCCCTAAGCAACCCAGCGGGACCCTGTCTCAAAATAAAATAAGAAAAGGGCTGGGGTGTGGCTCAGTGGTTAGGTGCCCCTGGGTTCAATCCCTGGTACCTAAATAAATAAATAGATGCTGGTGTCGACAATGTGCCAGAATCTATACCCCATTCCAGTCTTTGAGTACCAACACCTGACAGGTGGCCTCAGTCTGCAGACCTGGGATCAGGTCGCTCACGAGGACAGAGACATAGTGCCTACATGCAGGGTCCAGGTGCTGGCACCTGGCCAGGCCTCCTTGCAGGTGGTCCCATGGTGGAAGGCGAGGCTGTGTGTGGGAACAGGAGGGGGTACTGGCCCTTTGGTCAGGAGGTATGGCCCTCAAAGCCTCATTACCTCTCGAAGGTCCCGCCTCTTGATACTGTTAGACAGGAACTGAATTTCAGTGCTGACTATGGAGGGAACAAGTGTCCCAGTCATACCAGGGTCAATTTGCAGACTCTAAGGGCTCTGAGGTCCCACAGTCCCCACTGCTTCAGCCTGACTGAGAGGTGCAGAAGGTGGAAGTAGGATCAGAATGCACCACAGTGAACTTGATGTGGTTAATTTTTTATTTTAAAATTTTAGACTAGGTGCCGCAGTCTGGCTGGGCACAAATGCCGCAGTCTGGCTGGGCACACAATCACGAGCCACCACACAGCTTGTAGATTCAAACAGCAACTCTTTATTCCCGAACTCACACCAGCCGTCTACAATCACGTTCTGGGGAAATCCACGTTCTCTTCCCAAATCCGCGTTCTCTGCCCAAATCCACCTCCACTGGGCATCTGTCTCCCAAAAAATACTGTCTGAATCCCGTGAGAACTCAAGGGGAACTCAGGCAGCAGGATATGCCCTATTCCCAGCAGGAATAATCTTAAACCTTAAACCTGGAACCTAAACCGGGAACGCCCTAAACCCGATTATCTTAACCGGGAACACCCTAATCCGCCTTGGTCCTTGAGCAAGGTCACCTACATTCAATGTCACTGCAACATGGGGTACGCTGGCAAGGAAACTGTCATACCCACTTGGCTAATGGCTCCCAGCATCTCCCCCCTTCTGATTAATTGAACAACAAGCAACGTGGCTTAAGGACCGTGCCTGGTAGGTTGTCCAATTCAACATATGGTTCTTACCCGTCATCGGAAAACTGACCTTTAGGCGTCAGCCTCCTGTCTTAGGTTGATACCACTGCAATTGAATCATACCCGTCACTGACTACCGGTCCAGCATACAGCCATACTTGTGGATAGGTCTATGCACCAGTGGGGGGGTGAGGTTCTTTGCCTCACCTCTGTTGGCCCCCAAATTTGGCCTTGGTGCCAGTGGGGGAGTGAGGTTAATGTGGCTTAAGGATCGTGCCTGGTAGGTTGTCCAATTCAACATATGGTTCTTACCCGTCATCAGAAAACTGACCTTTAGGCGTCAGCCTCCTGTCTTAGGTTGATACCACTGCAATTGGATCATACCCGTCACTGACTACCGGTCCAGCATATAGCCATTGGCCCCCAAATTTTAGACCATCACTAGCAGAAGGGAGGAGGATACAGAAATGCCACAACACCTAGCCAATTGACGGCTCCTTGGGAAAAATTGCATCACTGATGACACCATCAGCAAAGATATGCCAGCACTACCACAATTAACATGGGGTGCGCTGGCAAGGAAATAAAAATTGCATCACTGGTTAATCACTGTCACAGATGTAAGAATGGCCAAGCTGGAGTTCTGGATATCAGCTGTTATGGATTTGAGTCAAATCATCTTCTTTTCCATCTGTAGAAATTGTTTTAGTTAATCTCTCTGGAATCCAAATCGGCTGCTGTTCTCCCTGTGGAAACACACAAACAAAACCCCGACTCCAGACAATCACTGGGTCAGGACCTTTCCATTGTCCTGTTAGAATATCTTTCCAAAGTACCTTAGGCTTATGTACATTTTTTGGATACATGTGTCTTTCCACAGCACTAAGTCCTTATGAATCCAAATTTAAAAAGTTTAGAGTAAAAAGGGTGATTTTAAGTTTATCTTTGGGGGATATATACCCCTTTCAAATTCCCTCTTTTTGCTTTAATAAGTATATGTCTGTATCTAATAGTTGTCTAGCTTTTTGCATTTTTCTATCTGAAATACCTTACTTGACGTTTTCAACCATTTTTTATCTTATTTCTATCTTCTAGTTTTTTTTCCCCCCCTAAGGTTTGTACATTCACCCTTAGTTGCTTTTTTTTCCTTAGTTTTTTTGTTTCCTATTTTGTGGGTTTAAAATTATTGTCTTCCTTCATCTTTTCTATCTTCCTATATCTTTTTTATCTTTTTTTTTTAACTTTCTATACTTGTGTCTTTAAAGTTTTTCACTTCAAATTTTTAATCTATCTTTCTACATCTTTTCTCTTTTTTTACCTTTCTGTACTTCTGTCTTTAAAGTTTTTCACTTTAAATTTTTAATCTTCTTTATCTAAATATATTTTATCCTATTATCTTCCCATTTTTTTTAAGTAATGCCTTTATGATTAACTAGGCTTCGAATGACGAAATCTTTCCTCTGTCATGAAGGCATTTTAACCACCTTCAATTTAACCTTTTAAAGCCTTCCAATTATCATCTATACTGTACTTTTAAATGTACTTTTTCACCACCTACAGCTTCACTCTTTTAAACGAGGCTTAGATTCTGTTTAAATCGCTTTAATGTTAGTTTACATGGCTGCCCTTCAACCAAAGGCTTTTTTTTTTTTAACTCCATTGAGAAGCTTTGTCTCAATCTGCCATGTACAAATACCTTTTTCTTTTTTCTTCCTTTCTCAAGCTTTTAAAGTAAGTCTAGTTTCCTCAAATTCTTTTTAAATGGCATTTTACAACTTTTTACTTTACCACACAGAGATTATCTCATCTAGAAACATTTCTTTTTCCTTTAACCTTTTATATTAAAATATATTTCCACATCTTGAATCTTTTTCTATCTCTTTTTTAACCGTTAACCCTTTTTATAAATTCACATTTTGAAACAACTCTTATAAAATTTCTGATTTAGACAAATTACTCCACTTTAATAAAATGAAAGACTTTCATGTTTTTTTATGATACTATAATACTATAATTGAAACCCAACTGAAAATTTTTCTACTCTTTGTATATAAATTACACATGATAGAATCTTAACTCTTAGTAACCTTGTTTTAGCAAAGACACAGACCAAAGCAACATTAAACCTTTTTTCCATTTACCAACTTATGAAAACACACATAATGTTTAAATATATTACCTTATGGAACTTAATAAGTAAAGACTACTTGATTTCATATTTAGTGGTTGATATTTTAACACTTTAGCTTTGTAAATTAATCAGATGTCTGTAAAAACCA